AAATTACTTTTAAGATTGTTGTAGTCATTTAGCAAACTGTTATGCGATTCTTCCAGCTGTTTAAGGTTACTAGTTATTTAATTTTTTATTTCAGTGATAAGTGATAATTTCAACTCTTGAAATATATCGAATTTTATAGCACTGAGTTTTTACTGGTCTCAGTGATACATGTAGGCTGGTCAGAACTTTTGTTTGATGGTCTATACGTAGTTTTGTTGTAAACGATGTTGGAAGGAGACTTATTAGTTCGTATCGAAGTGTTACTGTTATCACCACCTTTTCAACGAGAAGCAGTGCAAGCGGGACACTTCGATTCAGATCTTGAAGCAGTATCATTATTAAAATTTATGCACTCTGAATGGTAGTTATGCGAACATTGTGTGCATTTTATTCGTTTTTGTGTAACATTTACTATATTTGCTCTGCATGCTCCACACCTTCCGCCCATTTTATTATTGAATGAAGCGTTAAAATGCAGAGAATGTTATACAAATTATAAGTGCAAAAAGTGCGTCAACTCCAATTTACAGTGTAGGGGACTCGTCGCTTTAACTTTTAATTGTTGTGCACACCGTTAGGCCGATTAACCAACACACCTTGAGCAGATACGATGAAATTTTTTGAACTCCTTGTACGATTTGCAATAGTCCTTCAAGTTTTATTAAAGGGTAAGTTAAAATGATTTTGCTAATTTTTGTTAACTTAGATCACTTTTATCAGAACTAAGCACCAACGTACTTTGAAAAACTATTATAGTCTCACAACTATTGCACTATACCACTAAATAACGCTGTTTGAAACGTTTAACGATTAATTTGATCGGAACACTTTTTAACACGTCCACCCACTTAATGTCGGTACTTGTAACTCCGCTATTAAATTTAAACGCGAGAGGTAATATTATGATGCTTTTAGAAAAAAAATAATTGCAATGAAATATTTATAGCACTATTCATTGATTGTATTGTAAATTACTAAATCAGAAGGCAAACGTACACAGTCAAAAGTTATCCTCATCAGCGTTACTAAGTACAGCTAGTTTTAATTGAAAGGTACAGTGTTACTCTTGAGCTTGACATTTTTGAAGTGAAACATCTATAAAATCATTGTGATATGACAATCTACAAACGGGAAATAAAAAGAAGTGAAAAGTTAATTAATGGGTAAAGCGCAATATAAATAATATTCTTAATGTAAAATCCGAAATAAATAAACAAACATGACGTAATTTACGTAAATGACAGACTAGTGACCGTAACATTACGTGATACCACCTATGTATTCATGTATATTATTGCGTCTTACTACAATCATTACGTGATAAATTTGCAAATTTATAATTAACAATTTCTTTGACTCAGATGTTAAAGCTTTCGAAACAAAATTATTTCGAAAACGTTAGGCCACCTGTGACCACCAACCACCAAACTATTTTTTTATCTTTATTTGTTAAATTTAAAGTAAATATTCTTTCCTTTATCAAGGTAATTACAAATTAAATTTTTCCGTTTCCTTAACCTTTTACAGACTTCTGAACGTTCAATAAAGTTAGAAGTCATTGATTTATACAAATTTGCTGGAGAGGAATCTGATTAATAAAAGCCAATACGATTAAAAAGAAACTTTACCAAACTGCTTTGGGGGATTAAGCTCTATTTTAAACGGAAAAGAATATTTAATTTAGTCCAAATTGGTCTTTAGTCCGCCTAAATAAGTTTTAGTTTAAAATTATATTTAATGAAAAGTCGACTATGGCGTGAGCTACAAAGAGACGGCTCCTCAGTCCCTGCGACCCCGCTATTCCTGGCTACGGTGGCGACCATAGCAATGTCAAAGACCACTCCATGACACGAGCGTCTCCCAACGTATTGAGGATTTGCCTAAATCGCAACGCCTGGTGGGCGGGATAATGATCGCTGCACCAGAATTTGATGTCTCTCTCATACTATGATGCTGCTGCCCGTCACCAGCCTGTTATTTTACTCTGTTCTTTTTTACATTAAATACTAGTAATACTACTAGCATAACTAATATTCCCTATAACCACTTCTTCTTTAAGGCTTACTTAAATGCTTGTGTTAGGAGTTGTTCACGACACGATCTTTTGAGTTTGTAGTCCGCACTTCACTCGTACGAGGATGATGCTTTGGCAATTGAAAATGAGGAATTTAAGTAGAGCCATGCTGCAGTTATATTAGTAGTAGTTGAAGCACCAAAGGATCTGCTAGACCGGGGAAGGACCATGCTCTCACAGAATATCAGCGTAAAATAGTCGCTTAATGCTGCTGTGTTTCGTGAGTGTAGAGAACCGGAGACCCTTTTTTACTGGAAACGAGGCATTCCATCTTAGTCCTTACTGGTGACAACGCATCTGCATTTTGATTCGTAATTGAGGATAGAAGTAGATGTCTGTGGGCCACAGCAACCATTTACCATCAAGTGTACTGTGTGCTCGTTTTTCACCCTATCAGTTAATAATCAATAAAATATCTATTAAAAATATAAAAAATCATTATAATGCGCTTGTCATTTACGTTTACTCGAGATAATGTACGAGAAAAAAAGCAGATTAAGTGAGGCTTATGAGGAACGCATTACAGCCGTCACGTTTCTTATTTTGTGCTCATCCAGGGAGGTAATAATTCATTCTTATTGCGCACTATGTTTATAATGTATGAAGTATTATATAAAAATACAGTGCGCGTTTCAATGCTGATTTTCTGAACTCTAGTAATTTGAGTCCTAAGCTGGTGGCTAAGTTAACATCTGGCACTAGCGCCATCTAGTGTCGGGTAACGGAGCGAGGGTAGAGCTTTCCAGAAAATGACATCACTAATCTCTCAACCGACGGCGCCATCTGTTGTCGAAACGAAGAACTAAGCTTCTGGAAGCTGACTCTCGAACTTTCGGCGCTTTGTCGATTGGTGCGCGTATTTACTTGAATGTTCTGGATGATTCGGTACTAGTGTGTATTTATAGGCGCTGCAAGGTGCCATCGGGGAAGTATTGAATTTGGCGAGACAAGCGAAGCTTCGCAGCGAAATAAAGCGAATTAGTGTGCTTAATTATTGGAGTTTTAAGTTTTAATTTGTGTAAAGAAAATTAAAGTGTTAATTTAGGTAATTTTATCGGCAATTTTTATTGTCACGAACCTCAAGCTCGTAACAATATTATCCCATAGACTTCAAAAAAAGGAAGGATTCTTAACTTAAGGAAGATAATACATACGAGTACGCCGCTACCATAAATTTATCTGCGCCATTTTTTCTTAGAGCTACAAAAAAAGTCTAGTCTGTGTAACCGCACTTTTGAACCATGGGAAATCATTTTTATTTCTCAAATATAAATAAGAACTAAAATCACACATTTAAGAATGAAAGGACGTAAAGCTTACCTATCTTTAATACGGACAACAAAGTTCTTGCAGCATTATTTTTACACGGACAATAAAACTATAATGCCCGAAATAAAGATATATTCGCAAATAAAGGTGACGTTTGCTATATTTACAGCGCTCGCTAGACAGAGTTTTGAGCATTTACGTTGAGGTGCTAGGCACGAAAATAGTCAGTATTTAATGTTCTTCATATTCCTCTATACTGGCCTTTAAATGTTCAATATTGGAAGTGAGCTTGTCCTGTGGCAGTTAATCGTTACGTTAGGCAAGACTTTTGCTGATCGCAGCACACGTGAGTTATTTAACGCTGCTGTCCCGATGGACTATCGATATAGCATGGAGACACCTGAAATCGAGATAGTTTTACCGCCACTTATCGGGAGCCATATAGTTCTTCTTGAATTCAATCAATTCTTGATCAGATTGGTCAGAGAGATCAAATTGCCTTAGATTTTCATTACAAGTTTTGGCAAGTATAATTTAAATATGGATACTTAAATTATACTTGCCAAACGAACATTCATTACAAATACTAACTCATTGATAGTTTTATCTTTAAATCTTTTATCTTATGTTTTAAGCTTGCTTCACGTATAAAAACAACATTTTCAACACAGTAGCTGGGTTCCGTATAATAAAAGTAAAGTCCCTATTGTCCACAGCACTCAGCATATCGCATGCGTAGCTCGTAGCTGCAGTACAAATACCAACGGCTCAATATTTCACTTTTATCGACATCCTAGCATAGCAGAGTCACAATTCTTTATAAAATAGACATAGTTCGTTTGCCTTGACAAATTTCATTTATTACGGTTGCATAATATGGCTGCAGCGTATCTATACTACGTAAAAATATAAGTAAGTAAAAATAATAGGTAAAATCTTGTAAGAAGTATTTCTATGGATTAAAAAATAAATTTCACGTTCAGAATGTCCATAGTGTGCGACACCGAACAAAGTGGACGTTTTATCGGTTATAATTACAAAAATAATAAAATATGTTTAAACGACCTTAATTCTTAAGTTAATAAGGTGCATATAATAAATCGGCATACACTCCCCTACGCTGTTATGATATTACTCTGCTAAGTACGCTGCGAGTGAATACACGCGCCATAGATCAACATGATGCCAATACGCTACCTACCTACTAGAAGTGGCACAGGTGCTGGACTGAGTGGTTCACAGCCCAATTTGTCGACGGGAGAGTCAGCCACAGACGTTTCTACAGCGCCACAATTTACATTTCGTAGTAAGCGGAAATACTCTGGTGATCAAAATATTAAAGAAGAATTACGCGAAATACGAAAGGGAATGGCAGAAATGATGCAAGTTCTTACGTCAATTAACACGAATCAAACGGAAGCCATAAACAGGATATCGGAAGATGTAAGTTCATTGAAAGAACATGTAAAAGATCTTAAGACCGAGATAGATAATCTCCGATTCGAAAATGAGAAAATAAAGCGTAATATAGAGAACTTGATCAGTAAATATAATGAAAATAGAAACGTTAGACTCTGAAATAAAAAACCTTCAAAGTACAAAACTAATAGATCCACTTACCACAACAACCGTTAGTAGCACAATAGAAGAAACTGTGATGGCAGAACTTTCTGATCGATTGGTTAGAAGCAAGAATATCATAATAACTGGATTAATGGAAACAAATATATCTGACTATAAAGATAGAAAAGAGGCTGAGAAGAGAGAAATACTTGGTTTATTAAAAAAAGATCTCAAACGATTGTACAGAACTAAAAAGTATAACACGCCTGGGAAAGTATGTGCCAGACAAGTAATGCCTACTCAAAGTATGTTTCTCAACACCAGAAGAAGCTATTTTTGTATTACGTTCTAAAAGTAATGAAAAATTGAATCCCATTAAAATTTTCCCAGATCAAACGCCTCAACAACAATCTTTCTACAATGGAGAGATGAACCTAACTATCAAATACAACAAAGGTATACCTAAAATAGTTAAAATTAAGCCAAAAAACTACAAAATTCTTTGATAATCAAATTCCAATCTCTAAAAATATTTCTTACCAACTAGCTTCTCAGTATGAGAATATCATAACGACAAAAGATTTCTTAAAATGCCTGTATGTCAATGCACGCAGTATAGTTAAAGCAGGCAAATTTGCCGAACTAATATGTATTTTAAAATGTTTTAAATTTGCGATTCACTTAATTTTGATAACGGAAACCTAGATAAAGTGTGAAGAGGAAGCTAAACAATTTCAGATATGTGGTTATACCCATTACTATAATTTTAGACCTAGTAGCAGAGGTGATGAAGTAACAATCTTCGCACACAATATCATGAAACATAATCTTATAGAAGAACGATGTCTTGATAACAATCATTATCTATGGATACATATTGACAAGTATTCGCTGGATGTGGGTGTCATCTATAGAAAACCCGACAACAGCAATATTAATAAATTCATAGAAACATATTTGCAGAACTTAGCTCCGACCGCATGGACAGTTTCCACGAGCTTGTCATTCATATCGTCCACTGCATTGCAATCTTGTAGGCACTGAAAGCTATTACGTAACTCGAGCTGAAAGTTTTAGGGATTCTGGATTAGAGCACGAGGGGGACGGATCGTTGACTTCATTAGACGAAACCTCTCCAACTTAACGTTTAGGTTCAGTGTGCCTCTAACCATTCGGTGATCGCTGCCAGTTTTCACCCTTGCGATCACTGAGACATCACTGAACAGTTGGCGTCTGGTCGTCATAATGAAGTCAATCTCATTTTTTGTCGAACCGTCGGGGCTCGACCAGGTCTACATCCTGTGGGGCCGCTTCTGGAAGAAAGACTTCATCATAAAGAGTCCCTCTTTCTCCATAAAGTCGGCCAGCTGCTGGCCCCTTCGGTTCCGTTGCCCACTCCAAATTTCCCTACCTTCAGCTCACCGCTTTCTCTTGATTTTTTATTCACATCATGAATATTGATAATGATCACCAAAAACAATATAGCACAAGTGAGGTGACAGGTGAAAAAAGGCATGGTACAAAAAAATAAATATACGTGTGTGTGTGTGTGTGTGTGTGTGTGTGTGTGTGTGTGTGTGTGTGTGTGTGTGCGTGCGTGCGTGGCGTGCGTGCCGTGCGTGGCGTGCGTGGCGTGCGTGGCGTGCGTCGCGTGCGTGGCGTGTGTGGCGTGCGTAGCGTGCGTGGCGTGCGTGGCGTGCGTGGCTTGCGTGGCGTTCGTGCCATCCGTGGCGTGCGTGGCGTGCGTGGCGTGCGTGGCGTGCGTGACATGCGTGGCGTGCGTGGCGTGCTTGGCGTGCGTGGCGTGCTTAGCGTGCGTGACGTGCGTGGCGTGCATGACGTGCGTGGCGTGCGTGGCATGCGTGGCGTGCGTGGCGTGCGTGGCGTGCTTGTCCTGCGTGGCGTGCGTAGCGTGCGTGACATGCGTGGCGTGCGTGACGTGCGTGGCGTGCGTGTCGTGCGTGGCGTGCGTGGCGTGCGTGGCGTGCGTGGCATGCGTGGGGTGCGTGGCGTGCGTGGCGTACTTGGCGTGCGTGGCGTGCGTGGCCTGCGTGGCGTGCGTGGCGTGCTTTGCGTGCGTGGTGTGCGTGGCGTGCGTGGCGTGCGTGACGTACGTGGCGTGCGTGGCGTGCGTAGCGTGCGTGGCGTGCGTGGCGTTCGTGTCATCCGTTGCGTGCGTGGCGTGCGTGGCGTGCGTGGCGTGCGTGTCATGCGTGGCGTGCGTGGCGTGCGTGGCGTGCTTGGCGTGCGTGGCGTGCGTAGCGTGCGTAGCGTGCGTGACGTGCGTGGCGTGCGTGTGTGCGTGGCGTGCGTGGCGTGTGTGGCGTGCGTGTCGTGCGTGGCGTGCGTGGCGTACGTGGCGTGCGTGGCATGCGTGGGGTGCGTGGCGTGCGTGGCGTGCGAAGCGTGCGTGGAGTGCGTGGCGTGCGTGGCGTGCGTGACGTGCGTGTCGTGCGTGGCGGTCGTGTCATCCGTGGCGTGCGTGGCGTGCGTGGCGTGCGTGGCGTGCGTGTCATGCGTGGCGTGCGTTGCGTGCGTGGCGTGCTTGTCGTGCGTGGCGTGCGTAGCGTGCGTGACGTGCGTGGCGTGCGTGACGTGCGTGTCGTGCGTGGCGTGTGTGGCGTGCGTGTCGTGCGTGGCGTGCGAGGCGTGCGTGGCGTGCGTGGCATGCGTGGGGTGCGTGGCGTGCGTGGCGTGCGAAGCGTGCGTGGAGTGCGTGGCGTGCGTGGCGTGTGTGGCGTGCGTGGCGTGCGTGGCGTGCGTGGCGTAAGGGCAAATGTTTTAGTTGCGTATCATACTCTTGTTTAATTTTTTATTTTGTTTTTTTTAATCACTCTTTTGAAGAGATGCTGCAACAAATCGTTTAAACTAGACACCATTACAGCACTATTGTTATTTTGAAGTGAGGGAAGCCTTTCTAGATTTTTTATCACTTGAAACAACTTTTCCACTTTTCAAATGTGTGCTCAAATTAGCTCTTAGTATTTGTGCCATATTTATATTAGATGTTATGCCACAAAAGTGACAAAAGCAACTTTTACAAAATCTGATAATGAAGCAATACACTGTTTTAGAAGTGTTGCTTTCTGTAAAGCAGTAAATCTTCTCCGAAAAATGAAACGATTGGGATTTTCCAAAAAAGAATTAATTGCCACTGTCATGATTACTAATACCTCTTTAGCCTCATCTACTTGATCTCCATAAATATTACCCACATCAACATAGCCATGATGATTATGATCATCAAACTCTATGTGCTCGCGGATAGAAATTTCGTCGAACGTAAGGGCGATGACCGAATCTTTTTTCTTTGCTTACAGTCTTTATGGTTTCTACGACTACCTTAGTGATGCCGAGTTTACAGCCTACATTTTCGTACCAGACTCGTAGTGTTCGAGTATGTGAGGACAGGTCAAATTTTGTTTTCATGTAATTGTAGGCTCTAGGGCTATAAAAGTGTAGAGTAACGGCAAATTTCTTTAGTTGCGTATCATACTCGTGTTTAGTTTTTTATTTTGGTTTTTTTTAATCACTCTTTCGATGAGGTGCTGCAACAAATCGTCTGAACTAGACGCCATTACAGCACTAATGTTATTTTGAAGTGAGGGAAGCCATTCTATATTTTTTATCACTTGCGACAACTTTTCCAATTTTTCATTAGCCCGTTTTTTGTACTCTTATATTTTTCAGTTTATTTGTTTCATAGCTAGGCGTTTCCGAAGGATATCAATAGTTTTCTTCATTTTTTTCTTTCTCAGGGAATTGTCTATATCAGAAACGTTCACAGTAGAGCTACTGCTAGATGCTTTGCGTTTCGGCTTCAATACAAACTATAAAAAAAATTATTTAATGTATATATTATGTACTTATCTGTGACAAAAATAAATAAATTGAGGTTATAATCACCCTTTTATCTATTTCTGCCACTAAGCAGCAGTGCTTTCATCAGCGCATACCGGCCTGTTGAGTGTAGAGAGGCTGTATAATTATAAGCTGTAAGGCATTTTATCTTAGTCTTCAGGGGTCAAAACACCTTTGTAGCTTTCTTTCTTCGAAGCTGACTGTAGGTGACCATGTACTGCAGTAGCCGTTTCCATCTAGTGATCCTCTAAGTTCCTTTGGTACTTTCGTTTAAAAAAATATAGATTACAAAGATTACGACAACAAATTATACACATTTGAACACGCGCAAACGGAAATAACATATCTACAATCATATTTAATTAAGAAGCTAAGCACCGGCATAAATAATGTGTGTCTTGTACCAGAACGCAGCTTTACGCTTTGTGTACTTCTATGAGAAAAACAGTTGTTCAGAGTGCTTGCTACATATAGTTGTATATTTTTTGGAAACCCAGTCTTCTCTATTTATCATCAGAAATCTGAAATATTAATAAAGTTTAATTTATCTCACTAAAGTGTTTAATATAATGCCAAAAATAAAATATTGAAAATTTAAAAAAAAACTAAGTTAAAAGTGGCTGCATCCAAAGATATGCCTTTGCTTGTTATAAACATATTATCGATAAGATAGAGTGCCAAACATTTTAATTGTACTTACGTGTGAAATGTATAATTTTGTGGACTTTCTTTTCTCGATGAACTGCATTAAGGTACTGCACATGTTACCATATTTAATCTCAACCTTTAAATTTTTTTAATATCTTGAATGACGTCAGCCCGATATAGGTCTATATCGTGTATGTGTATGATTTAGCCATTTTATCTCGTTCTAACGTAAGTTATGCTATGCTCTTTCTCTTTTACATTGCCAATCTAACTTAATTATATACTAACTCTATGGTTTGAACGAACTACGCAATAAAGAGGAGTTATTTCTTTTATTGATAAGTTCTACCACTAGGATATCGCTCCTATTAGTAACTTAGTGAGTTATGGAGAGATCTGTGCTCGGAGTTTGCCTGTGTGATAGTATCTGAAACGATATATTGACAGAAGGGCAAGGGCAATTGCCAAAGCCCAGCAAATCTGTATGCTGGAGTGACAATGAGCCGGCCGTGTAGCTTAAAGTTGGTGGAGAAGAAAAAATTTTAAGTGGCAATGTTGACGACCCTCTACGATATGGAGTGATGATCTGATGATATAAGTAGGGACTTATTTGTGATACAGGTGCTCACAGGTGTTTTTTGGTCTGAGGCGCGAGGAGGTGGTGGCGCTTTGTATACGTAAGTTGTATGAACAGTCGTCCACATCAAAAATACCTAATTGTTTTTTTTATAAAATTTCTTTACACTGCGCCACCGAGCCGTAGGTAATAGAACTGAATTTAGCCTGACTTAATCCGCATTTGTAACTTGATTGCAATGTTTTGTTTGCTTAGTTTACTTAACTCATTTTGTAAGAGATATTTAAAAAAAACAAGCTGCAATAGTAATAAACCAGAAAGATTTTTTAATTGGATCAAAGAGAATTTCTATACTTAAATGAAGAAAATGCGACAAGAAGACGCAAAATTAAGCCAAGGCCATGATTAACTTATCGTGAG